CCCCAAAACCCCAAAACCCCAAAACCCCAAAACCCCAAAACCCCAAAACCCCATAAAATTAGGCAAATTTTGAAAAAATTAAAATGGCAGATATCGATATAGACGAAATCCAAGAAATTATCAGAAAAGAAGAGGAAGCCAAGGTAAGCTCATCCTCCTCACCTGTAGAATCCAAATCTTAAAAGCAAAAGAAAACATAGTGGCTCTAGGAGCCATGATCGGAGCAGCTCTGAGAGGAATAAGCACAAAAAGTATAAAGTGCATAAAATGAGAGGAGACTCTTTTGAAGAAGATGATTTTAAAAATAAAATCAAAAGGCAAGAAGAAGCCCTCCAGAGACAAATCGAAGAGGCTAAGAAGCAAGCTGAAGAAGCTCAGAGAGAAGATTGTACAGTTCAATGAATCAGGGTTCACTTGAATGCTACTGAAAGAGATATCTATAGTTTCTTTGTAAAAGCGAATGTGGGAAAGGTTAGAGATGTAAGAGTGATTAAGGATACTAAAACAGGCAAATCCAAAGGAGTCGCTTACGTTGAATTTTATACTCCAGAATCTGTATTGCTTGCTATGGCTCTCACCAATCAGCCATTATTAGGCCTTCCAATGATAATCCAAGCATCACAAGCTGAAATAAATAGACAAGCTCAAGCTACAAAATATAGGCAAGAACAGCAGAAAAAGACAACTAAAAGACACGAAAATATGAAGATATACATTTATGGGCTGACCTCTGAAAATGATGTAAGACAAGTCTTTAGTCCATTCGGAGAGATCGAATTGATCGAGCTCCCAAGAGACCCATATTCTGGAAAAAGTAAGAAAGTTGCCTTTGTTACCTTCTGCAGAAGAAGAGACGCCAAAGCTGCCATCAAAGAAATGGACGGTTATAAAGTAAAAAGCACTAGACTCGAAGTCAGAGAAGCAAAAGAAAATGAGAGTGAGTATTACAGAGATATGGGCCCAGATCTTGATTTGGAAGAAAAAGGATTCACTATTGGCTCTGGTAGAAGTAGAGCAGCTCTTATTAGAGAGTTGAACAGAGGAAAAGAGGAAACTAATGATCTTCTTGTCAAACAATCTGACTTGAATGCTGCTAGCAATTGTATCTTGCTCAATAACTTATTTGACCCAACATCTGTAGATCTAGAGAAAGAACCCCATTTCTATAGAGAAATTGAAGACCAAGTCCTTGACATATGCGAAGAAGTTGGAAAAGTTGATAAAGTATGGGTTGACACTAAATCCCAAGGAAATGTATGGGTTAAGTTCTCTAAAGACTCAATTAAAGGAGCACAAAAAGCTCAAGAAATGATGAACAATAGATTCTTTGATGAAAGAGAGATTAGAGCATCATTTATTCCTGAGAAAATATATAATGCTAAAGTTCCTGAGTAATTTCAATCTTCTAAAAACTATGAGGGGTTTTGGGGTTTTGGGGTTTTGGGGTTTTGGGGTTTTGGGG